TTGACGATCGAGCCGTCGTCGATTGGCGCGAAGCTCTCCTAGCTGCCTTCCTCCGCGCCAGCCGTGGGCTCGCAGGCCGACCTCTCGGCGAGGAATCCACTTGGTGGTCCAGGTCTCACCCGGCACGTCCAAAGTTCAAGAGTGTGAAAGTCACCTCGGAGGGCAAGGGTCAACGCCGGCCGTGTCGCACGAATCGTCAAATCTTTCAACCGTCGCGCAGGCAAGTTGGCGATAGCGCGGGCCCGAGTGCTTTCCAAGCCGCGGGATGTCATCGACGCGGCCGTGGCGACGCGCGCTCGCGGCTGTCCTCCACAGCGCGGCGGTCGCGATGCGCGGTCGTCGCCGCCGCGCTCTCTCGCCCCGGCAGACGAGCTGGATGCTCCAGGTCGGAACTCCGCCAGACGTGACCCAGACCGCTCGGCGCGGGGCGCGGCGGGTGCGAGCCGCCAGGCCCGCCCAGCGAGCCCCCGCGCCACTCCGCCAGGGCGCCGCGACGAACGTGGCGATCCATGGGGCATCCCCCCCGACGACCTCGAAGGCGACGAGGAGGGCCCACTCGGCCTAGGGCCTAGGGGGGGCCCTCGACTGGCGAAAACGACGCTCCTCACCCATCCGAACGTCGCGACGGCGACGGTCGCGACGCGGACGACGACGCCGCGCCTCCGCGTCCAATCGGGCACACAAACACAGGGACCCAGGAGGTGAAGGCCCACCTGCCCGCCCTGATTTCGCATCCGGCACGCCGCTGCGGCCCGCGCGTGACAGCGCAGGGGCGGGCCGGTTTCCCCGGTGCGGTCAGCCGCGCCCCAGGGCACTGCTGCGGCGGCAGCGCCGCCCGCCTGGTGAGGATCTGCGCGTGGTAGGCGGGGGGGTCGCGGCATGTGCCGCAGGGGCCAGCTCCGTCGCCCCGCGCCGATGGGCGGGCCAGTGCCGTCGCGCGCCCGGCCCCCGAGCGCAGTGCTTCTTGCCGCTGTGCTGACCCCCCGCCCCGCTAGGGGACGGGGGCCAAGGGTTCTAGCGCCGCCCGCCAGGGTGAAGGCGCCCGAGCGATTCCAGAGCAACGCGCCGCTCGGAAAAAGGCACCCTCGCGCAACGCCTCGCTACGTGAAGCCGCGCTTTCCACGTGCATTTCGGCGCCTCAAGAGCCTGCCGCGAGTCTCGCGCTCATGCTTAGTAGCATCCAGGAACAGTCCAGACCTCTTTTCGCAGTTTCCAACGAGCACGGTCCGCCTGGAATCCCAACGGGCCTTCCGCATGCTTGCTTTCCTTGTGGCCTCTCTCCAGGTAGTTGTCCAGGCGCGACCTTCCGCTTGCCGCTAGCCCGCCAGCGCTGGCCTCCTCCATTCTGTCGTTCGTACCCTTCGAGAGCACTTGGCAACGTGTTCCGTGGGCCTGGCACTGGGCCGCCGAGTGGGTGGCCAAAGGCGCCTTTTCTACTCTTTTTTAATCTCAGGGCTCCGTGGCGCGCGTGCCAAGGCGCGTTTAAAATTAGTGCCTTTCTCACGGGGGTTGCAGGAGGGGCGAGTATCGTTCTCGTCGCCAGATCCAGCTTCTGCCATGCAGTCGGGCCCTTTTTCCGACCGCGCCGCGTGGGGGGATTCGCCACCCCTGCCATTTACGAGCGGCGCATCCCGCCTTGAGAGGTGGTCGCGGCGGGCGCTGGCGCCTCGCGTGCCGGGGCCGACCTCGGTCCGCCCTCGTCGTTTCGCTTTCGTCTGTCTTCTGCTCTCCTCTTTTCTCCGTGCGTTCCCGTCGCCCCCCATCTCGTGGGCTCCGCAACCGCTGGGCCTTGGGGAAATGCGGGGCTTTTCGGGGGCGTCCGTGCTGGAGCTGAGTTGGATTGTTCGCAGGGGTTCGAGTGGATCAGATATGCACTTGCGCTGCAGTTATTAATGCTATGGCTAGTTTGGAGGTGGATGTGGTGACGCCTGTCAGCAATCAAGGATTACCCGCTTCGGCCATACTTGTGCTCGTTATGATTTTGACCAGTGTGGGGCGGCTTTGGCGCGGCCAATCTAGGCCCTCTTGGTCGTGGGCCGCCTCGCGCCCGAGAAGGCCCTGGGGGGCAGGGCCATCGGCCTCGCGCCCATGCTGGGCCGACCCTAGTCTCTTGCGCGGGAACTGCTGGTGCGCCATGGGTCGGCGCAGGAGGCCCGGGCCTGGGGCGCGGCGGTGGCGGGTAACTCACGCTTGCAGGATCTGCATTTCAAGGCCAGCCATGGGCGGGGAGGTGGCTGAGATTATAATGATGCAGTTTTTACGTGGGCTCCTTGACGCGCGGAAGTTCTACGACGCTATCCCGTTGGTGCCGCTGGCCAAGGCGGCGCTCTAGCTGCCGTTCCTCCCAGTCATCCTGCACCTCGAGCTCCTGTCTTGCGTGGCGGTGAGGGCGAGGGGGGGTGGGGGGCGGTGGCGGAACCGTCCAAGCCGTGCCGGAGTGCTATTCAGCGGCTCAGGTCTGGAGCCAGGTTCGCGCAAGTACTTGCGCATTGTGCTGTGAAGGCCGTGGCAACAGCGGCGCCGCAGATGTCGCTTCGAGTTTGGAGTGATGACAGTGCGCTTGAGGCGACGGGAACTAGGGCCGCAATCGTAACCAGTCTGACCAAGAGTGTTGCCAAGACGGGTGCGGGGTTGAACGCGTGCGGCTTGGAACTGGCAGATTCATCGGTTCTCGCGCGCGCGACCGCCAAGGATGCGCGCGACGTCGCTCGCGTCTTCATGCTTAGTGGTTTCCCAGCCCCCTGCATGGGGATAAGCTTTATAGCCGCGGCAAGCACGTCGGGGTGACGCGAACGCAGGCGGTCAAATTCACAAGGCAATGAACGAAAAGGGCAGGATACTCAGTCAAGCATTCAAGATACATGGCCTCATGACGAGGCTCGAGGTGTGTGTGTGTGTGTGTGTGTGATGGGCAGCCAGGAGGTGCGTGCGGCTCCCAGGTGCGCGGCATCTTCGCCCGGGAGCTGAGGGGCTGTAGGGGGCGGCTCAGCCAATCGTGTGCGGCCAGCGCCAAGGGCCGGTGCCCCGCCGCCCTTGTCGACCTCGGGGCAGCGGCAGGAGATCCAGCAGTGGCATATCCTGTTTGGCATGTCGGCGCGTGGCTGAGCACGCGGCTGTCCCGCCCAGAGCTGCAGGAAAGTGTGCGACGCGTGTGGCTTCGTATCCTGCAGGACCTTCAACGGCGCGATGCTCGGGATCAGGTGCGTGAGTTCAAGAGGCCCACGTCGGCGACCGCCCTGAAAGTGCCGAGGCTGAACTGGGGCACGGGTGGACCGGCGGCGTGGTTGCACTGATGGCACATTGAAGCTTTTGCGATATTTCTGTGTGATGGACCCATTCTCATGATATTGGGCTAACCATCCAGGAGGGGAGAGCTGTTCATCCGATGGTCGTCAGCAACATGCTGGCCGATGAGTTTGCAGGCTTCGCTGCTGCAGAATTCTGCCTCCCTGTCGCCGAGGGATCCATAGGTTCGGCTCACGAAAAAAACGCATCTGTCGTGTATGGCTGCTCTCAGCGACCTTTGGCAGTATCAAGGCCACCCGTGAGGCCGAACTTGAAAAAGAAAAATATGCATGTTATTTCCCGCCCCCTCCTTCGCCTCTCCTTCCTGCGCCTGCTGCTGTCTCTGCCTTCTTTTCCCAGCACCGCCTTGCCGACATCACGAAGCGGTGCCTGTTTTGCGTTGGGCCCGCAACCCAAGCCACAGAGAAAGAGTTCTGGGGTAGTTTTCTCGCCCGTCAAGGGGGCTAGAATTCACATACCTGGGGGGTGGGCACACACTGCGCACACCCCGCACGCTCACCCCACCCTTCAGGTTTGATTCTGTAGTGTTTTTGCAGCGGGGTCTCCGGTAAGACGTTGCGACCAAGGAAAGAGCCCATGCAGTGGGAACTGTCCAAGCACGGCAAGAAATATCGTGACAGCGTTGCACAGGGGCTGCTGCCCGAAATCCTGAGTCGAGCCGAGCAATATCGTCCCGACGTTCGAGGAGCCCCAACCAGAGGTCAGTTCGGGGCAGACGCACTTGCATCCGCAACGGGGTCCACTCCACCCCATGCCACGCCACACCCCGCTCTCCGCGGTGAGAGCCCGCGGTCTTCCCGGGCTTCCTGTCCGAGTCCGAGGCACTGGGCCCCTGCACGCGAGGAGGGGGCCAGGGGGTGGGGTCGGCGGGGGGGAACGACTAAGGCCTCCTCTGTCTTGTCTTCGCCGCTTCTGGGCCTCAGGACCGCCACAAACGACCCAGGATGGGGACTCCCGGGGGACCCGTATTGATGAGAGCACGACGTCGGATGTTTGGGGAGGGAGGGGGGATGAGGAGGAGAGGCGGTATCTGAGATGAGGCGGAGGAACTGTCCCCGTTCGCCCCTGCCTCTTCCCTGATCTCCCTCGTCCTCGTCCTCCCTCCTCGTCCTTCGTCCTCGTCCCCCTCTCCTCCCACTCCTGCCCCTTCACGTTTCCCTACTCCCTTTCTCCTCTTCTCTCCTCCGTCCTTACTCCTCAGCACGCTCTGTTGCCCAAAACGTCCCAACCGTCCCTCCATCATTTTCATTCTAAGTTAATCCTTCCTGTCGCACCCCGAGGCGTGTCGGTAGCCGTTTCGCCTGAGACTTCCTCATTGGTTTGGATTCTTAAGCTGAGAATTTGCAAGAGGTTCACTGGTGGAGGGCGTTCCGCTTTCAACATGTGGCTCTCGCATTAGCGCCGCGCACGCTCGTTCTTTTACACATCGCAGAAGTTTCACGTATGGAAGGCCCGTATTCAAGATGTGGCTCTCGCATTAGCGCCGCGCAAATTCGTTGTAAACAGTTGGAAGAGTTTCATGGATAGAGGACGGTTTCTTATCAAAATGTGACTTTCGCTGTAGCGTCGTTTACATTCGTTTCTTGCTTCGGTAGATGGGCTAATGCTAGAGATGGTAGATTGCGATGCTGTTGATGAGTCTAGGGTTTGCACTGGTCCTCCTCCTCCTTCCCTTCCTCCTCCTTCTCGCGGAGGCGGCGGAGATCTTCGCAGAATTGTCTCGCATGTCCTCGTGGCAGCGGCGGCCCATCCGGGTGCGCGACAGGGAGACCAGAGAGAGCAAGGAGGCGCCGCTGGAGGGGCGAATAATGGTGATGCTGCTGCTGATGATGATAACTATGATGATGATGCTGCTGATGATGATGATGATGTTTATGTTTATGGTGATAATGTTGATGCTGATGCTGCTGATGATGATGATGATGATGATGTTGATGATGATGATGCTACTGATGATGATGCTGATGATGATGATGGTGAAGAGGAGGAGGACGAGGAGGAGGTGGAGGAGGGAGGAGAGAGGAGCAGGGATGTAGCTGTTGAGGACTATGATGGTAGTGGTGCTGATGGTGGTGGTGGCGATGATGAGGCTGATGATGAGGCTGATGATGAACATGATGGTTCTTGAGGGCCGCTGTCTTCTCAGGAGGCCGCTTCCCTCGCACCCCTTCCCCCTATGCGCGCCGCCAGCTCCTGGCGGCGGTGTTCGCGGAGGAAAAAAATAAGTTCTCATTACGATGTTTGTGATTGAGATGCCGATTGTGGTTCACATGATTTTGCTGTTGATCATGGTAAGGAGGAACATCCTGTTTATGGATGATCAGATTATGGTGATGGTGACCGTTGAGATGGATGGTGGTGATGATATTTATGGCATTGCTATTGTCCAACATGATGGTTATGACGAGGAAGAAGGGGCTGTGGAGGAGAATGAAGGATAGAAGAGTGGGAGGGGGGAACATGGGGACTGGGAGGATGAGGTTGATGATTAAGGTGATGGTTGTTATGACGATGATAACGATGGTGTTGCTGACGACGATGATTCTGTTGATGACGATGGCTGTGGTGGTGATGATGATGGGGAGGCCTCCCATCCCGCCCCTCCCCCCTCCACCTCTCCATCCTCCTCTCTTTTCCCTCCCCTCTCCCCTCCCTTTCCCTCCCCCTGAGTTTGGAGAAGGGCCAGGGCACCACGGTTATAGAGGAGGCTCCAAGTGTGACCCTTTGCAAACCAGACTCCGCAATCTTGCCACTGACTCGCATGGGACCGCGCAGGGCCGACAACTGACCCCTGAGTGCGAACCACCCCCGCGCAGACATCCACCCGAGGCCACTGGTGATTTTTTTTGAGGGGGTCGCCGATATGTACGTATACATATATACATAACACATGCATACGTACATCTGTACATATATGCATCCATACAGTTCGACATACACACATCTATATACATGCATAATATGTACGTGTAGACATCTATACAAAATATACACAAATGTATTATTCATACACCTTTTACATGCATCCATAGTCTACATATTTGTATATCTGCATATATACATACATACATACATACATGTGTGTATACATATATATACATATATATATATATGTATATATATATATATGATATATATATATATATATATATATATAGGTCTGTACCTACATGTACACATTTACATGTATACATATGGACATGCATACACATAAACATATAACATATACGCACGGAAATATATACATACGTACACATATACGAAAGAGCGCGTTGTGTGGTCGCTTGGAGGGGGGGGGGGTGGCACCGGACCCCCCCGCCCCCCTGGATGAAGGGGGGGGGTTCGAACCCCCCTCCGCCCTCGGGCCGGCGCTGCGCTCGCTTGGGTCGGCGCCGGCTGGCGACGGCGGCGGGGACGACGATTTCCATGTCTTGGCCGGCGCCGGCGCCTGCGGCGGCGGGCTGCGGCGAGGACGACGGTGGTGGTGGTGGTGGTGGTGGTGGGCTGGTGGTGGTGGTGGTGGTGGCGGTGGTGGTGGTTGTGGTGGTGGTGGTGGCGGTGGTGGTGGTTGTGGTGGTGGTGGTGGTGTGGTGGTTTGTTGTGGTGGTGGTGGTTGTGGCGGTGGGTGGTGGTGGTGGTGGTGGTTTGGTGGTGGTGTTGTGGTGGTTTTGTGGTGGTGGTGGTGGTTTGGTGGTGGTCTGGTGGTGGTTTGTGGTGGTGGTGGTGGGTTGTGGTTGCGGCGGTGGTTTGTGGAGGTGGTGCTTGTGGTGGTGGTGGTGGCGGTGGTGGTGGTGGTGTGGTGGTTTGTGGTGGTGGTGGTGGTGGGTTGTGCTGCTGGTAGTGGTGGTGGTTCTGGCTGTGGAGGTGGTGGTGGTGTGGTAGATTGTGGTGGTGGTGGTGGTAGTGGTGGTTGGTTTTTGTGGTGGTGGTGGTGATGGTGAGTTGTGGTCCAGTTGTGGTGGTGGTGGTGGTGGTTGTGGTGGTGTCGTGGTGGGTTCTGGTGGTGGTGGTGGTGGTGGGTTGTGTTCCTTTCCTCTTGTCCTCCTCTCCTCGTCCTCCTCCTCCTCCTCCTCCTCCTCCTCCTCCTCCTCCTCCTCCTCCTCCTCCTCCCCTCCCTCCTCGCCCAATTTGGCATTTTCACCCACCCAGTACAGCGTTCCGTGACCCCATAGGGAGCCCCACCGAAGCTCCCAATGGGACCGCCCGCATGCGTCCCCCACACCCAGTTTGGCATTTTCACCCACCCAGTACAGCGTTTCGTGGCCCCATGGGGAGCTCCACCGAAGCCCCCGGGGGGGACCGCCCGCATGCGTCCCCCACACATAATTTGGCGTTTTCACCCACCCTTACAGCGCTTCGCGGCCCCATGGGGAGCTCCACCGAAGCCCCCAGTGGGACCGCCCGCTCGCGTCCCCCACGCCCAATTTGGCATTTTCGCCGGCCCAGTACAGCGCTTCGTGACCCCATAGGGAGCTCCACCGAAGCCCCCAATTGGACCGCCCGCGTGCGTCCCCCACACCCAATATGGCATTTTCACCCACCCAATACATCGTTTCGCAGCCCCATAAGGGGGCCCCGCCGAAGTTCCCAGTGGGACCGCCCGCATGCGTCCCCGATACCCAATTTGGCATTTTCACCTACCCAGTACAGCGTTTCGTGGCCCCATAGGGAGCTTCACCGAACCCCCCAGGGGCACCGCCCGCATGCGTCCCCCACACCCAATTTGGCATTTACACCCTTTACAGCGCTTCGCGGCCCCATGGGGAGCTCCACCGAAGCCCCCAGAGGGACCGCCCGCATGCGTCCCCACGCGCAATTTGGCATTTTCACCGGCCCAATACAGCGCCTCGTGACCCCATAGGGAGCTCCACCGAAACCCCCAGTTGGACCGCCCGCATGCGCCCCCCACACCCAATTTGGCATTTTCACCCACCCTTTACAGCGTTTCGTGGCCCCATAGGGAGCTCCACCGAAGCCCCCGGGGGGGACCGCCCGCATGCGTCCCCCACACCTAATTTGGCGTTTTCACCTATCCATTACAGCGTTTCGTGGCCCCATAGGGAGCTCCACCGAAGCCCCCAGAGGGACCGCCCGCACGCGTCCCCTACACCCAATTTGGCATTTTCACTGACACAATACAGCGCTTCGTGGCCCCATAGGGAGCTCCACCGAAGCCCCCAGGGGGACCGCCCGTATGCGTCCCCCACACCCAATTTGGCATTCTCACCCGCCCAGTACAGCTTGATTTTCCACTCTAGAAAACAGAGTCTACCCACCCGGACTTATCGGTACCTCCAGGGATAGTATGATTTCATTATATATATATATATATATATTCTGCACACTCGTCCATCCTAAGCATGAAATCGTATCATCCCAGCCACGCCGGGTTCCCCCCCTGAGGTTCCCTTGTAACAACACTATGCGTTGACATTTCTTGCTCTAACATGACACTTTTTCACGAATCCTTTGCAACAAATGGGACGAAGTGCGCGCGCGCGTCGTCGCGCGCGCATGCCGAAATCCTCCCAAAACCATCGGTACCGGAAGGATTTCGCAATCGAGTTTCCAATTACCCTGTGACGTACCCAACCCATTCGTATCAATGGAAACGAGGAGTTGGCCGAAACTTGTATGGACAATCAACTTGATGTGTAAGCTACTTGGGAGGCGTCACTGTGCTGGGCCCCGCCAGCAGGCCTCGAAAGTGGCGACAGTTTCACAGATCGCAACCCCCCAGGGATGGCGAGGTCTAATTTGAATCTGCGTGTGGCATCACTGTGCTGGGCCCCCCAGCAGGCCGCGAAAGTGGCGACAGTTTCCAGATCGCAGCGCCCCAGGGTGGCGAGGTCTAACTTGAAACCGCCGTGGGTGCCCACTGTGCTGGGCCCCCCAGCAGGCCTCGAAAGTGGCGACAGTTTCACAGATCGCAGCCCCCCAGGGATGGCGAGGTCCCATGTGAGTCCGCCGTGGGTACCCACTGTGCTGGGCCCCCCAGCAGGCCTCGAAAGTGGCGACAGTTTCACAGATCGCAGCCCCCCAGGGATGGCGAGGTCCCATTTGAGTCCGCCGTGGGTACCCACTGTGCTGGGCCCCCCAGCAGGCCTCGAAAGTGGCGACAGTTTCACAGATCGCAGCCCCCCAGGGATGGCGAGGTCCCATTTGAGTCCGCCGTGGGTACCCACTGTGCTGGGCCCCCCAGCAGGCCTCGAAAGTGGCGACAGTTTCACAGATCGCAGCCCCCCAGGGATGGCGAGGTCCCATTTGAATCCGCCGCGGGTGCAGACTGTGCTGGGATGGCGAGGTCCCATTTGAATCCGCCGTGGGTACCCACTGTTGCTGGGCCCCCCAGCAGCCCTCGAAAGTGGCGACAGTTTCGCAGATCGCAGCCCCCCAGGGATGGCGAGGTCCCATTTGAATCCGCCGCGGGTGCAGACTGTGCTGGGCCCCCCAGCAGGCCTCGAAAGTGGCGACAGTTTCGCAGATCGCAGCCCCCCAGGGATGGCGAGGTCACATTTGAGTCCGCCGCGGGTGCAGACTGTGCTGGGCCCCCAGCAGGCCTCGAAAGTGGCGACAGTTTCGCAGATCGCAGCCCCCCAGGGATGGCGAGGTCCCATTTGAATCCGCCGCGGGTGCAGACTGTGCTGGGCCCCCCAGCAGGCCTCGGAAGTGGGCAGATCGCAGCCCCCCAGGGATGGCGAGGTCACATTTGAGTCCGCCGTGTGTACCCACTGTGCTGGCCCCCCTAGCAGCCCTCGAAAGTGGCGACAGTTTCGCAGATCGCAGCCCCCCAGGGATGGCCAGGTCTAATTTGAATCCACCGCGGGTGCAGACTGCGCTGGGCCCCGCCAGCAGGCCTCGGAAGTGGCGACGGTTTCGCAGATCGCAGCCCCCCAGGGATGGCGAGGTCTAATCGGAGTCCCGTAAGACGTCGCTCCGCTCCCCCCCCCCCCAGCAGCCTTCGAAAGTTGCGACAGTTTCACGGATCGCAGCCCCCCAGCGATGGCGAGGTCTAATCTGAATGTCCGTAAGACGTCACTGTGCTGGGCCCCCATCAGCCCTCGAAAGTGGCGACAGTTTCACAGATCGCAGCCCCCCAGGGATGGCGAGGTCTAATCTGAGTCCCCGTAATACGTCACTGTGCTGCCCCCCCCAGCAGCCCCCCAAAGTGGCGAGAGTTTCACAGATCGCAGCCCCCAGGGATGGCGAGGTCACATTTGAATCCGCCGCGGGTGCAGACTGTGCTGGGCCCCCAGCAGCCCTCAAACGTGGCGGCAGTTTCGCAGATCGCAGCCCCCCAGGGATGGCGAGGTCTCATTTGAGTCCGCCGCTGGTGCAGACTGTGCTGGGCCCCCCAGCAGCCCTCGAAAGTGGCGACAGTTTCGCAGATCGCAGCCCCCCAGGGATGGCGAGGTATCATTTGAGTCAGCCGCGGGTGCAGACTGTGCTGGCCCCCCCCAGCAGGCCTCGAAAGTGGCGACAGTTTCACAGATCGCAGCCCCCCACCCACCAGCAGGCCTCGAAAGTGGCGACGGTTTCGCAGACCGCAGCCCCCCAGGGATGGCGAGGTCTCATTTGAATCCGCCGCGTGTGCAGACGGTGCTGGGCCCCCCCAGCAGGCCTCGAAAGCGGCGACAGTTTCACAGATCGCAGCCCCCCAGGGATGGCGAGGTCACATTTGAGTCCGCCGCGGGTGCAGACTGTGCTGGGCACCCCAGCAGGCCTCGAAAGTGGCGATCGTTTCGCAGATCGCAGCCCCCCAGGGGTGGCGAGGTTCCATTTGAGTCCGCCGCGGGTGCAGACTGTGCTGGGCCACCCCAGCAGCCTTCGAAAGTGGCGACAGTTTCGCAGATCGCAGCCCCCCCAGGGATGGCGAGATCTAAGTTGAATCCGCCGCGGGTGCAGACTGTGCTGGGCAGGCCTCGAAAGCGGCGACAGTTTCACATATCGCAGCCCCCCAGGGATGGCGAGGTCTAATCTGAATCCGCCGCGGGTGCAGACTGTGCTGGGCCCCGCCAGCAGGCCTCGAAAGTGGCGACAGTTTCGCAGATCGCAGCCCCCCAGGGATGGCGAGGTCCCATTTGAGTCCGCCGCGGGTGCAGACTGTGCTGGGCCCCCCCCCCCCCCCCCAGCAGCCTTCGAAAGTGGCGACAGTTTCGCAGATCGCAGCCCCCCAGGGATGGCAGCCCTCGAAAGTGGCGACAGTTTCACGGATCGCAGCACCCCAGCGGTGGCGAGGTCTAATTTGAATCTGCGTGTGGCATCACTGTGCTGGGCCCCCCAGCAGGCCGCGAAAGTGGCGACGGTTTCGCAGATCGCAGCCCCCCAGGGATGGCGAGGTCTAACTTGAATCCGCCGTGGGTACCCACTGTGCTGGCCCCCCAGCAGGCTTCGAAAGTGGCGACAGTTTCACATCACAGATCGCAGCCCCCCAGGGATGGCGAGATCTATCTGAGTCCCCGTGGTGCCTCACTCCGCTGGACCCACCAGCAGCCATCGAAAGTGGTGACAGTTTCACAGATCGCAGCCCCCCCAGGGATGGCGAGGTCTAATCGGAGTCCCCGTCCCCGTGGTGCCTGACTCCGCTGGACCCGCCAGCAGTCCTCGAAAGTGGCGACAGTTTCACAGATCGCAGCCCCCACAGATGGCGAGGTCTAATCTGAATCCCCGTGGTGCCTCACTCCGCTGGACCCACCAGCAGCCCTCGAAAGTGGCGACAGTTTCACAGATCGCAGCCCCCCAGAGATGGCGAGGTCTAATCTGAGTCCGCGTGGTGCCTCACTCCGCTGGACCCACCAGCAGCCCTCGAAAGTGGTGACAGTTTGACAGATCGCAGCCACCACCAGAGATGGCGAGGTCTAATATGAGTCCCCGTGGTGCCTCACTCCGCTGGACCCACCAGCAGCCATCGAAAGTGGTGACAGTTTCACAGATCGCAGCTCCCACAGATGGCGAGGTCTAATCTGAATCCCCGTGGTGCCTCACTCCGCTGGACCCACCAGCAGCCCTCGAACGTGGCGACAGTTTCAGAGATCGCAGCCCCCCAGGGATGGCGAGGTCTAATATGAGTCCCCGTTGTGCCTGACTCCGCTGGACCCACCAACAGCCTTCGAAAGTGGCGACAGTTTCACAGATCGCAGCCCCCCAGGGATGGCGAGGGGCAAGCGACGTAAAAGGCAAGAGAGAAGAGGAGGACCGAAGTTGAGATGTGAAGGGAAGCAAGAGAGAAGAGGAGGAGCGAAGAGAGGAGAAGGGATGCAAGAGAAAAGAGGAGGAGGAGAAGGGAGGAGAGGAGGGGGACGGGAAGGAGGAGGAGGAGGAGGAGGGAAGACGCGACCGCAGTGCTCTATTCAAAACGAATACCCAACCAAGGAGGGTTGGGAAAACACATACAACAACACATGGTTTCGCAACGCTGATTTGCTAAACAAGCTTCCGCGCGAGCTCTTGCGAAATCTCAAGAAAACCATAGTTTTTTTTTTCAAGAGTTTCACAAAAACTGCTACCAAACGGGCTTCGCGCGCGCGCGCATGTCGAAATCAGTCGAAAGCCCTTGCGCGTGTGCCGTCGCGAGAATCCTTTGCAACAAATGGGACGAAGTGCAGACGCGCGCGTCGTCGCGGGCGTATGCCGAAAACCTTCAAAACCCATCGGTTTCGGAAGGATTTCAAAATCGTGCGTCCAAAAAACCTACAAAAACCCAAGGTTTCGCAACACGGATTTTCAACAAAAGCGTGCGCGCGCGCTCTTGCGTCGTCGTCGTCGTCGTCGTCGTCGTCGTCGTCGTCGTCGTCGTCGTCGCCGTCCTCCCTCCTCCCGCGTCGTCGTCGTCGTCGTCGTCGTCGTCGTCGTCGCCTACGTCGTCCTCTGTCTTTTCTCGTGTTCGTCGTCGTCGTCCTCTTTGGCGTCGTGGTCGTTTCCGTCGTCGTTGTCGCCGTGGTCGTCCTTCCTCCTCCTCCCACGTCGTCGTCGTCGTCCGTCGTCGGCGTCTCGTCGTCGTCCCTCCTACTTCGTCGCCGTCGTCGTCGTCGTCGTTGTCGTCGTCGTCTTCCCTCCTCCCTCGTCGTTGTCGTCGTCGGCGTCGCCGTCCTTCCTCCTTCGACGTCGTTCGCGTCGTCGCCGTCCTCCCTCCTCCCTCGTCGTTGTCGTCGTTGTCGTCGTTGTCGCCGTCGTCGTCCTTCCTCCTCCCTCGTCGTCGCCTTCGTTGGCATCGTCGTCGTCGTCTTCGTCGTCGTTGGCGTCGGCGTCGTTGTCGTCGTCGAAGTCGTCGTCGGTGTCGTCCTAGTTGTTGTCGTCGGTGTCGTCGTAGTCGGTCTTAACAGGTTTTGCAAACCAAGTTGCGGGTGGGTGGGTGGGATGTTTGCGCGAGCAATGGAGATGACGACTTCAAGTTCAGCAGAGTGGTCGTGACCCCATAGGAAGCTCCACCGAAGCCCCCAGTGGGACCGCCCGCATGCGTCCCCACATCCAATTTGGTAGTATCACCCAACCAGTACAGCGGTTCGTGGCCCAATAGGGAGCTCCACCGAAGCCCCCAGTGGGACCGCCCGCATGCGTCCCCCGCACCCGATTTGGCATTTTCACCGGCCCAGTACAGCGCTCCGTGGCCCCATAGGGAGCTCCACCGAAGCCCCCAGTGGGACCGCCCGCATGCGTCGCCACATCCAATTTGGCATTTTCACCGGCCCAGTACAGCGCTTCGTGGCCCCATAGGGAGCCCCACCGAAACCCGCAGTGGGACCGCCCGCATGCGTCCCACACGCCTAATTTGGTATTTTCACCCACCCAATGCAGCGTTTCGTGGCGTCATAGGGAGCTTCACCGACGGCCCCAGTGCTACCGCCCGCATGCGTTCCCCCCCGCCCAACGCAGCGCTTCGTGGCCCCATAGGGAGCTTCACCGAAGAAAATATTCACAATTGCGCTAGCCACAACTTCATATGGTTGGGTCATTCGCCAGGATAGTTCGAATTTGGGGTTTCGGTGCCAACCGGGCCGCGATGATTTCGCGACCGAACGCAGATGGGATGGCCGCGCGCCCAAAGGAGCGGTGGAAATTGCCATGGAGACGCTCTGGATGGCGCGAGCAATGGAAGGCTAGAGAAGTAAGTTGTCACGTTCGATGTTCCATGGCCCATGAGGCCTTTGCAGCATGGATGTAGCTTTAAGTCGGGTATGTCCCTCTACAGGAGGAGTATTCAAAAATAACTCGTTTTGAAGAGACGGTCCCCGCGTTCTCCTCCTTCCTGCTCCCCCTCCTCCCTCCTCCTCTTCCTTCCTCCTCCCCCTCCTCCCCCTCCTCCCTCCTCCCTCCCCCTGCCTCTGGCTGGGCGTCTTTTAGAGCATTTTATGCGACAGGCGTCTGCCTCTGTCTCGCAGAACGAAATTATTGCAAACATGCGTGGCGCCGAGTCTGCTGTACGCCGCGGGGACCTGGAGGCCGACTGCAGAGCAGGAGAACAAACTCCTGACAACGCAGCGCAGCATGTTGCAGCATATCGTGGGCGTTCGGAGACGCAGTCACGAGACGTGGGTCGAGTACATACAGCGTGCAACGCATACGAGCACAAACCTTGCCCACCAGAACGGTGTCCAAGACTGGGTCTCGAGCTTCTGGAAGCAAAAGTGGTCCCTGGCAGGCATGCTATCCACGGCGATGGATGGGCGCTGGGCCGTCTGGCTGGTGGACTGGAAGCCTTGGTTCAGGGTTGACGCCAAGTGGAGCGTTGGCGGCCAGCGCAAGCGCTGGGCAGACGTTTCAATCTTCGAGCACACGTGAGGCACACTGCGGCCTGGCGCAACGCCTGGGCAGGCGGGACGCCCGCCTCCCCCCACGGGCTGCTCTCTCTCTCTCTCTCTCTCTCTCTCCCAGTATAGCGCTTCGTGGCCCCATAGGGCGCTCGCATGCGTCCCCCCACACCCAGTATAGCGTTTCGTGGCCCTATAGGGAGCTCCACCGAGGGCCCCAGTGCTACCGCCCGCATTCGTCCCACCCACCCAGTATAGCGTTTCGGGGCCCTATAGGGAGCTCCACCGAGGGCCCCAGTGCTACCGCCCGCATGCGTCCCCCGCACCCAATACAGCGCGTCGTGGCCCCATAGTGAGCTCCGCCGAAGGTGTCAGTTTTACAGCCCGCATGCGTCCCCCCCGCCCAGTACAGCGCTTCGTGGCCCCATAGGGAGTTCCACCGACGGCCCCAGCGCTACCGCTGGCATGCGCACCCCCCCGCCCAGTGCAGCGTCTCGTGGCCCCATAGGGGGCGCCACCGATGGCCCCTGTGCTACCGCCCGCATGGGTCCCCCCACCCATTACAGCGTTTCATGGCCCCGTAGGGAGTTCCACCGAAGGTCCCAGCGCCATCGCCCGCATACGTCCCCGCCACCCAGTACAGCGTTTCGCGGCCCCGTAGAGAGCTCCACCGAAGGTCCTTTGGCTACCTTCCGCATGCGTCCCCCCAACGCAGTACAGCGTTTCGTGGCCCCATCGGGGGCGCCACCGACGGCCTCAGTGCTACCGCCTGCATGCGTCCCCCCCTCCCAGTACAGCGCTTCGTGGCCCCATAGGGAGCTCCACCGACGGCCCCAGTGCTACAGCCCGCATGCGTCCCCCCCCACCCAGTACAGCGCTTCGTGGCCCCGTAGGGAGCTCCACCGAAGGTCCCACTGCTACCGCCCACATGTGTTCCCCCCACCCAGTGCAGCGTTTCGTGGCCCCACAGTGAGTTCCACCGAAGGCCCGAGTGCTACCGCCCGCATGCGTCCCCCCCCACCCAGTACAGCGCTTCGTGGCCCCACAGGGAGCTCCACGGAAGGCCCCAGTGCTATCGCCCACATGCGTTCCCCCCACCCAGTGCAGCGCTTCGTGGCCCCATGGGGAGCTCCACCCAAAAATCTATTCAACATTGCGGCGTTCACAACTGCATATGGTTGGGTCTTTCGCCAGGATAGTTTTGATTATTTCTGGACAATTTTTGAATATTTGTTTTTTTGTTATTGTTAATTTCTCGTCTACAGTCCGCCTGTAGGAGGACACGCCCGACCTAAATTCAGCTCCGGGGGCCAACGTGCCACATGGGAAGCCAGTGACGCTCCACTGGCAAACGCAGGCCCAGCCACGGCGGGGGAGAGCAGGTGGCTATCGCACGCGGCAGTGGGGCACCACTGTCAAATGGCTTCTTTGGGGGCTAAGTCTGGGCGGCCAAGGAAGTCCGATTCTCGATTTGACAGCGGGGGCCCACCGTCACACGGACCATGGGGGAGGCAGGCGGAGGCGCGGGCGTCGAGCTCCGATTGCCCATGTTTCAGTCGGGGTCCATTGTCAACCGGGAGGTGCGAGTCGCGGGAATTGAGCTCCGATTGCCTGTTTGACCGTGGGGGGCCACATTCTAATGAGCAATCTTGGGGGCTAGGCCGAGACGGGCGAATTGAGCTCCGATCGCCCAATTGGCTAAGGGAATGTTGCTATCCACCTTAAGGCCTGGCACCACGCGCTGAGGGTGGCCTGCGCTCGGGGCACTTCTCCTTTGGTATTTCGGTTGTGTGCATTCGTGCAAAGCCTATTGGCAATGACTGCGGAGCCGGCTAGAACCGAAGCGCGCGCGTAGCGCGCGCGTGGTTCTAGTGTGTGTATATATACGTGTATATATATATATATATATATATATATATATATATATATATATATATATATATATATATGAAAGTATGTATGGACAAGACTGCATCGGCGCTTCGCGCCATGCACCTTTGTCTTTCGATTTCGGCCCGCGGGCGGAACGAGAGTGAGGTAAACAAGTAAGCCAGCGATAACTCAATGTTGCCGTCTTTTGTCGTCGTCATTACAGTCGGTACTTCCTTCTCCTTTCCTCATGTGTCCTCTTCCTCTTCCTCGTTGTCCTCTTAAGTACCCTGCGCCCGAATCCACGCGTTAGCCTTCTTGTGGAGGGAGCCTGTGAACAGCCATGGTGACCATTTCATCGACTTCTGTCCTTCCCCTCGTCGTCGTCGTCGTGCTCCTGCTCCTCCTACTCGTCCGTCCTGTGAGCTTATCCTTGCCCTTCCTCGTCTTCGTGATTTCTCTCCTCGTCCTCCCGTCCCACTGGTGTGGGAGCCGCCCCTCACCATGAAGGTGCCTGAAGGACGGCCTACTGTCTCGTTCTCCACGCCGCCAGGGATGAGATAGCTAGAAGGCTTTCGCCAAGCGCCCACCGCCCATGGTATTTTCGTTCCTCTCGAGGAATACGGATGGTATGGGGTATGTCTGTGTAGTGTCGACGCGGCGCCGACGCCAGCATGGACGTTCAAGGTTGAATGCCGCCAGTGGCTGGGAATCGGCTGAGGTCGAAGGATGCGTGCTATCGGAAAGGCCCGACCAGAAACCAACGACGACGTCGTCATGATACGACGCTGCCGTAGTTCGGCGGCGAGCCCAAGGGGGGAAGTGAGAAGGGACGGGCCTTCTCAGAAGGCTTGGAAGTCCCCCGGCATTCTGAGAAGTTCTCTAAACCTTCCCCGAATACAGACAACAACTTCTCAGAAGGCCGGAGGTCTTCCGAGAAGCCCCGCCGCCTTCCGAGAAGGCCGTCTCCTTCTCACTTCCCCCCCTCGCTCGCCACCAAGAATCTGGATCGGACCCTGGGCGTTTTTTTTCCGGAGCTCCCTTCTTGTCGCAGAACTCCCGTATATTTGGACCTGGACTACCGTTTAAGAAAACGCCTGGAGTGCATGCCATTTTCTGAACGTAAGGTGTTCTTAACTCTTCGGACGGGGCTAGGACGAGGATAAATCCATTCCAGAGCGTTCCGGAACGCGCTGAGAAGGCCGTGCCGCCCGAGACATCCTCCAGATCCGCCGGAGCGCAGAGATTCTCGATTTATCCTCTCCCGATTTTCTCGTGATTCTAGCTTCGTCGTACCTCTAAGCATGGGTGTATCGTCAAGGGAGGCCGATGACGCTCCCGATGCTTGGCGTGCGTGCAGGGCTGCTGCGCCTCTGCGCCTGCAGCTGCCCCAGGGCGAAGCGGAGGGCTGCGTGGGCATCCGAAGCTGTAGCCAGTGCTGCTCAGGGGTGGCGACACTCGGCGGCGGGCGAGGGGGGGGCGAGCGAGAAGGAGAAGTCCTCCTCAGGGGGGCACGGGTTCGAGGTTTTCGGTCGTTTTCGTAGGTCCTCGGCGGCTTTCCAGCCTCGGGGTGCGGTCCGGCAGCTGCGTCTCGCCGAGGGCGTTCCGGGGGCGTTGGGATCGTCCCGAACGGCCGCTCGAGATCCGAGTTGTCACCCGAAGTCCAAACTCGGCGGCGCGCCGAGGTGGAAGTGAGAAGGAGAAGACCTTCTCAGAAGGCGGCGGGACTTCTCAGAAGCCCTCGCGCCTTTGAGAAGTTTTCCTGTGTCCTCGTCGAAGGCTCATAGAACACTTCTCAGAATGCCGGGGGACTTCCGAGCCTTCTGAGAAGGCCCGCCCCTTCTCACGGGGACTGGCCTTAGGTCGGGTCTGTGCCCCTACAGGGGGATATTGGGCGAAACATTTCAAAACACTCCCAAATAGTTAAGTCTAGTCAAAACATCGTCCCCATATTTTTTCATATATAAATACTATTATTATTCATTATTTTTGAATCTTCCTCCTCTAGAGGGACAAGTCCGACTTGAGACTGGCCCTGGGGTGGAAGCATGGATCCCCGATCGCCCCTTCCTCGCCGTTGGGGGCCCCGTGGGCCCCGACCTGCCTAGGAGCGTTGGTTTTTCCCAGTCGGGGGTGACGCCGACCTCGCGGCGACGTTTCGTCGACAGGCCTCGACCTGAACGGTGGGCGTCTTGACGATCTCGAGGACCATTTTCGTTTTGATTATGTTTTGCGGCAAAGGCGGAAAGAGGACCGAGCGACGCAAAACATAAACAAAACGATGACGGAAAACAGTGTTTAGGTCGAGCCCTGATCGTCGATTCCAGGTCATTGTCTCCCCCCTCCCCTCCTGATCCAGTCCCCACACGTTCGACTCCCCTCGACTGCACGAGCAGCGCGCGCCCGGATCCGGCCGTGAAACTCCTTCCCAGCCCGCGTGCGCTTCAGATGGGTCAGGTCAAATTGCGCCAGGCGATCGGGGAGAGTGAGTCTTGCGCATTGTAGATTCGTGTCGTGTCGACGCGGCGGACACCAGTGAACGTCGCCAGTGGCTTGGAATCAGCCGACATCGAAGCATCTGCTCTATCAGAAAGCCGCGATCGCTCAAGGTTCAACGACCCACTGTGCCAGAAGCCAACGCGTAAGTCGTTACGACACGAAGCAGCCGTATGGCTCCGGGGCTCAGCAGCATGGCATCTGAAACATAACGTTGGCGCGCTTGAGCTCTCCTAGTCTCGCTATCAATGGCAATTCATGGTTCTACGTTCTACGGTTGAAATAACTACAAGTTACAATGGTCATGGTGGAAGGGTGTACAAGCGGAGGATGGAAGGAGCGAAGCGAATGGTAACACTATCAGAGCAGGAGGCCCTCAAGGAGTGGTGCGCGGGCCGTTACAGTGGATCCTGGCGCGAGGCCGAGGCGTTCCCTGAGGTCGTCCTAGAGGCGAGCTGCCGGCGGCAGCGATGGCGTCGGCAACGTCGGCTGGTCGAGAAGGAGTGAGCGTGGGACGAGGTGAGAGGGGAGGGGAAGCCACGGATCAGGGAGGAATGCGAGAGAGAGAGAGAGAGAGAGAGAGAAAGAGACGGCGAGAGAGAGAGAGAGAGAGAGAAAGAGAGAGGCAGGGAGAGTATGCGAGAAATACATGTCCCATTGTTCCTCCTCCACCTCCGCTTGTTTCTTCGCAATGCTCCTGCTTCCCCCCCCTCCCTTCCTCTCCCTCTTCGTCCTCGATGTCGTCCGCCGCATCTTCTTATCCTCCTCGTTCAATTGTCCTTCCCTCCCACCCTCCTCCTTTCCATCCATCTTTCCTCCCCCCTCCTCTCCTTCTGTCTTCCCTCTTATTTTCCCTTCTCCTCCTTTTCATCGCCGTCCTTTTCCTGTCCTCCTCACCCTTCCTCACCCGCCCTCATCCCCGCTTTCGCCTTCCTCTGCTCTTCCTGCCTTTCTTCTATGTCTCCTGTCCCCCTTTTCCTGCTCCTACTTGTCTCCTCCTCCCTCTACCCTCCCCCTTTCGTCGCACTACCCGACGGTTCGGTAAGGCGGGCGGGGCATTTCGCTCGAGATTTCCTCACCCTCGTGACTCTGAAGCTTGAATTCGTGGGTGGGTTTCAAAGTGTGAAACTCGCCATAGCGTCGCGCACATTCGTCTGACACTTCCCAGCATGGAGCTGTTTTGGAGTTATACGTAGATGTACATGCTTTTATTCGAATTCAGCTCTCGCCTCTGCGCCACGCGCATTTGTCGTATCAGTTTGCATCAGCTGCAAGGATGGTGGGCGAACTTTTTCAACATGCGTCCCTCGCTTTAAATATCACCGCGCACATGGAGGGAGGGTGATTCATTATTCAACACGTGTCTATACCCTCAACGCCATGCATAGTCGTGTCTACAAGGTTCCTGCAACTGAGAGGATGGAGGACGGTTCATTTTAACAAAGGGGCTCACGTTTGAGACTAATTTGTTTTTTGCGACCATAAGGTTACCACTATGCACCAGTTACTAGGATGGAGAAGGGTTCCTCTTTGAAGTTTGGTTTCTTCATGGCACTTGTCTGACCAACAATCTCACCTGGCACAGCGGTTGCACGGATAGTTTGTTCAGGTTGTTTGTTTCTTTGTTCATACGGTTGTTTTCTTTAGAATTGGATTCTTGCTGGAAAGTTCGGACATGCCGCAGACCAATTCATAAAGTCAGAGGGTCTTGAATTCTACGGCTTACGCTTCATCGCCGGCCCCTTGAGTGAGCCTCTGGGGTCTGTGAAGCGAAAGACTTTTGCCAATGGAAGCGCCACTTGTACAGGCTGCTTAGGAGTGTACCAGGAAACTCGGGGGCCATGTTGGGGTGGAGGGCGCCCTGGGCTCTTTCGACTTCCAAATCGGGCTCTTCTCGGGGCATTCTTGTAGACATCTTGGACAGTGTTGGAGACTTCTGTGGCCGTGATCGGGCCCTCTTGGCCGTCTTCGGGTCTCCCTGCAGCCTTCTTGAGTGGTATTTGGCTGGTCAGGGAGCCTCGTGGCCAGTCTTGGGCGCCTTTGAGTTCGAGGACGGGAGCCTCAAAATTATCCTGGCGAAGGACCCAACCATTATGCAGTTGTGGGCACCGCAATTTGGAATATTGTCTTCTGTGAAGCTCCCTATGGGGCCACGAAGCGCTGCACTGGGTGGGGGGGAACGCATGCGGGCGGTAGCACTGGGGCTGTCGGTGGAGTTCCCTATGGGGCCACCAAACGCTGTACTGGGTGGGTGAAAATATCAAATTGGGTGTGTGGGGCGCATGCGCACGGGGCTTCGGTGAAGCTCCCTATGGGGCCACGAAGCGCTGCACTGGGTGGGGGGGAACGCATGCGGGCGGTAGCACTGGGGCCGTCAGTGGAGCTCCCTCCCTATGGGGCCACGAAGCGCTGGGTGAAAATGCAATTGTGTTTCCGGGGCGCATGCTGACGGTAGCACTGGCACCCTCGGTGGAGCTCCATATGGGGCCACGACGAAGCGCTGCACTGGGTGGGTGAAAATGCCAAATTGGGTTTCAGGGGCGCATGCTGACGGTAGTACTGGGTCCTTCGGTGGAGATCCATAGGGGGCCACGAAACGCCGTATTGGGTGGGTGAAAATGCAAAATTGGGTTTCTGGGACGCATGCGTACGATCCCATTGGGGGCTTCGGTGGAGCTCTCTATGGGGCTACGAAGCGCTGTACTGGGTGGGTGAAAATGCCAAATTGGGTTTCTGGGGCGCATGCGCACGGTCCCACTGGGGGCTTCGGTGGAGCTTCCCATGGGGCCACGAAACGCTGTACTGGTTGTGTGAAAATACCAAATTGGGTTTCTGGGGCGCATGCGGGCGGTCCCACTGGGACCTTCGGTGGAGCTCCCTATGGGGCCACGAAGCGTTGTATTGGGTGGGTGAAAATGCAAAATTGGGTTTCCGGGACGGATACGGACGGTCCCATTGAGGGCTTCGGTGGAGCTCCCTAGGGGGCCACGAAGCGCTGTACTGGGTGCGCGGGACGCATGCGGACGGTAGCATTGGGACCTTTGGTGGGGCTCCCAATGGAGCCATGAAACGTTGTACTGGG